TTTAGCAGTTAGAAGCAATCATCATAAATCTGTGTTTGGAAACATAATCTTGAATTATGAGATTGACCATCATATATGTATTGAATTCATACAGATATCATGAAGATTAAAGAAATTTGAAGTCACTAGTCTTAGGACTGCTTATAGCATTAGTGCGATAAGTATAGTAGTTGCATTGGACAACCACTCACTGATGTTCCTAGTAAGTATTGGACCGGTCAATTGTTAATCCCTATCTGTAAGTGGGATCTGATGGAGAATAGTGTTCATAGTCATAACAAGTCCGATAATATTACTATAAATAACAGTGTCCTTTTGGGTTACACGCAAGAACAAAATTAAGCAGAACTGAAATAAATTTATTTAAGGGACTTTTTTGTTAATTAGTTAATAGTTTAACTAATTAATAGTAAATACAGGAATATAGAATATTCCAAAATGATTTGAATATCATAGATAATAATTATTATATTTGGTAATTATCTCTAGGGTTTCAAATCATCTCCTTATAAATAGAGGGCTCCAAATCCAGTTTTATGAGATGAGAATAATACCTTTCTACTACCAAATTTTGGAACCCTCTCAAAAACCTTGAAACGATGGAACCTAGTTCCCACGACGTGGCGAGACTTAGATTCAAGTTCTTCGAATCTGTTTGATGTTGGAGTTCGAGGTTTGTTCAGATCTGTTAGAGTTTTGCGCCTTGGGTGTTATTTCAAAAGAGGAACTCTCATTTGTGTTCTCTAGTCCAATCAACTGACTCGTCTTAAGAAGAAACCTATAAGAAATCTAAGATATGTTTTGTATCTATCGAGTTCTAATAAGTTGCATAGATTAGTTGAGTTTAGATCCATATGTTTCGAGTGTTAGATCAATTTGTTTGTTGTTTCCGCTGCCATTTTATTTGTTATAATGAGGCTCAAAACCTATCAGTATCTTCAATCAATCAACGAATCAGAGAAAAAAAAACCCAGAAAATCAGAGCTTAGAAGCAGCAAATCGGAACCCACTTTGATGCTCTAATATTCTAAGAGGTGCAAAGAAAAAAAAACTCAACACTCCTTGCCTTTCCAAATACACTTTTTTATGTGGCTTCCTTCTTGATTTTATATGTAATTGGCTTCATAAAACCTTCAACAACAACCGAACAACCTTCCCTAAACAAACCAGGCACTTGGTTCGATCTCACGGGAGGCCGTTGGATGGATCCCACGATACAATTGAACGTTATCATGTATGTACAAAGTCGTCAGTTTTGCATTTGGCAAGCACAAGCAGTAATGTCGATTTTGTTTGGGCGAGTTAGGTGACGTCGAGAGAGAGAAAAGAAACAGGAAGCGGACAACAGCAGGCGGAGGTGATCAAATGTTGAAAGTTTATATTCAAAGAGAGATGAAATCATAGGTGGATATTGAGAATTGGGAATTGTAGTGGTGAAAACAATTAAGGTTGGTATTATGAAGAAGACGACGAGACACAAACTGCACATATACTTAAATTGATTTTTAATTTAAAGTAAAAAAAAGCCACCTAGACATAGGGGTGGCAATTGATGACACCACACGACAAAAAATACATGACACAAAACGAAATTGGGAGAAACTGAAATTCGAATTCGTGTTTGTGTCGTGTTCGTGTCAAGTGTAAAAAAACACAACATCGTGTCATGTCATGTTCGTGTTCAAAACTCGACACGAAATTGACACGATTTAGCATTTATTTGTCGTGTTTTTCGTGTTTGTCGTGTTATACATGATTAACTATTAATTAAAAAACTAATTGGTATTTTATGTTATCTTTGTCGTTTGTGTCGTGTTTTTCATTTTTTAATCGGTTCATTTTCATGTTAGTTAAAAAAACACGACATCATGTCGTGTCGTGTTCGTGTTACATAAAACATTGTCGTGTCGTGTCAGACAAAAACACAACACGGTGACTCGATTTGCCACCCCTACCTAGACAGTGTAACCAGTAAAACTAGATTTAAATTGGATGTTTTCTCTATTTAATAAGTAAAATAACACTTTAGTCATTTATTGCGCAAAAAAAAATTAACAACGGGACAAAGCAAAAAGTTATATCTATCTATCAATCAGAGGGAAAATGACTTGATAGGGTAAGTTACTTTTTGAGATGTACACATTTAGTCTTTATTCTTTTTTTGTAAATTAAACTCTTTACCCGATTTTTTGTAATTATGCAATCCTTTTGACCGACTATAGTCGGTTTACCGGTCATATACGAATTTTATTTTATTTTCTTGAAATGAAATAACCAGGTGGCATCCACATGTCACCTTACATGGATATTGTTAAATTACACCGAATTGAAACGACAATTAGGGCTCATTTAATCAGTCATTCCTCCATTCACTCAGCCGATAATCCCTCAAACTTCTTGACTCACAATCACCATCAACAATGGCAGAAGATGCAGATACAATCGTTGATGTACACTATAATGGGGTGTTCACACCTACCCCGTTGATGTAGTTTAATGGAGTAAAAGCCTCTGTACCATACACGGTTGTGAACAAGATGAACTTCCCTGATTTCATCCCCTTTCTTGAAAAGCTTACTAACGGAAGATGCAGAGATGTGTATTACTGTCCACATGAAGTGAGGTTGTCGGAGGGATTACATGTTATTCAGAATGATTGCGATTTTAACGAGTTTCTTGAAGATATAAATGAAAAGAAGAGATTGGATGTGTATGTGGATCATTATCATGAACCTTTGTTTGATTGGATTCAGGAGGAAGAAGCAGACCTTGAAGATGAAGATTTGGTTTCTATTGATGATGTTGACTCCATTTTAAAAAATGGTCTGAAAGCTGAACATGTAGAGGGCGATGAAGTTATATCTCTCAAAAGAAACTTCAATGATCAATTCATCAACAAACTTTGTCCAATATAGAATGATGACTTGGTTGAAGAAGATCATAATGCAATACGACCTATCTACCCAATACATGATCATACTTAGGAATGGAATGAGATGAAGCCTCGATTAGGTATGAAATACTCTACTACTGCTGAACTTAAATACTCTCTTAGTTGCTATGCTGTAGCAAATGGTTATGATATGTGGTATGAAAAGAATGACAAGACTAGGTTGCTAGTTAGATGTTGTAAAGGAAAGAATCCAACATGACCTTTTAGATTGTATGCTTCCTGGATGAAAGAGGAACACACTTTTCAGATTAACTCTCTTATAACAGAGCATAAGTGCTCTAGGGCATTCAAACTTGGTTCAATTGTAACATATAAGTGGATAGGGAAACAATTTGTGAATGATGTTTTAGAGAGTCCTAAACTGAGTTTGAGGAAAATAAAAGCCCTAGTATCTAAGAGATACAACATTAATGTGAGTGTTGGGCAGTGTAGGAATGCAAAAAAGTTAGCATTGTATGAAGTTGAGGGAAGTTTGAAAGAACATTATGCCAAATTTTGAGATTATGGAGCTGAAATCAGAAGGGCTAATCCAGGTTCACATGTTGAGGTGTTCTTGGAGCCACAACCTGATAATACTGTGGTGTTTGATAGGTTTTATGTTAGCTTTAAAGGTGTTGTGTATGGGTGGTTAGATGGATGCAGAAAGATAATTGGGGTTGATGGTTTCTTTCTTAAGGGTGTTTGTAGAGGGGAGCTCCCATTAGTAGTGGGTAGAGATGCTAATAATAACATCTATCCCTTAGCTTGGGCAGTAGTCAATGTTGAGAACAAAAGGACATGGAAATGGTTTTTGGACAACCTGATGGAAGACACTGGAGGGGGGAATGGTCATGGCATTACAATCCTCTCAGAGGTATGTTGTTGATCTGAATAAGAGGGCATGTGGATGCAAAAGCTAGCAACTCACAGGCATTCCATGTGAACATGCCATATCAGCAATTTCATCATTGAACCTAGATGTGGAGGCTTTTGTATCAAACTCCTATACTAAATCCTCTTTCCTTAGTAGCTATGAGCATAACATCCACCCACTCAATGACAGTTCTAAGTGGCCACATGTTGAAGGAATCCATACTATTTTGCCTCCATTAAAGAGGAGGTTACCTGGCAGGCCATGTGTCAAAAGGAAAAGAGATCAGGCAGAAAGAGAGCTAAGTGGGCACACAAGGCATACTGTGTCAAGGGCAGGCATTCCTCTAAGATGTACCATTTGCCATCAAACTGGCCACAACAAAGCCACATGCCCAAGTAAGCCAACTCCAGCTCCAAGCACAGGAGGTCCAAGTCAATCAACTCTAGCTTCAAGCACAGCAGGTCCAAGTCAATCAACTCCTTCTCCTGTCAAGAGAACTCCTGTGAAGAAAGCTCCTGTGAAGAAGGCTCATGTGAAGAAGGCTCCTGTGAAGAGAAGTCCTATGAAGAAGGTTCCTTTGAATGATGCTGGTAGGGTGAGAAAATTTTCAGAAAGAATCACAGAAATTGGTCTTCAGAAAAATGTTAAACTCAAGGATGGAACTGGATGCAGCGAAGACAAACCTGTGACCTTATAGTAATTAGGTTTTGGTGTAGTGGGGTAATGCATGTGATATATATTTTGATGTACTGTAGGGTAATCTTTTGAACTTAATTACTATATTACCCCTACTAGTTGTTTACTTTTGATGTACTTGTCGAATATTTTGAACTAAATTACTGTATTACCCCTACTGGTGGGCTTATCTTTTGTAATTATTAAATGGCTTGATGCCTTTTGTCAGCCACCTTTATTTGTCTTTACATCCAATTGTCTATAAAAGAATATTTCCTGTAATTTGTCTTGGTTTTACCTTCATTTGACTGACTTAATTACATCAACATCCATACATAATAGCAATAAACTTTACCATTACATAAACATAAAGTACATCAACATCCATTACATAAACAAGAATTACACAACAAGTCTATTACATCAAAATCCCTTAAAACCTCCAGAAGCATATCTTCAACCCCAAAACATAATCTTAACAATGACCAGCAGAATCAGTACACAAATCATAACCTTCAACTATTTCACTTCTTCTCTAACAGATGTCACATCCTCTAAAACTTGTATAAGATAATCTGCAACATCTGAAAGAGTATCTTCTGCAATGGGCTTCATATTCTCAGGTTCTTCATCAATCCATTCCCAAAATTTACACTTTTTCCCTGGTTTCTGTAGTAATAAAATCAACAACATAGAAGGTAAGAAGAAGAAAATTGATGCGCTTTGACAAATAAAATCAATTTAGGTATTTACCAATGAGTTAGGGCACACTCGAAATTTCTTTCCAGGGTTATCTTTGGTCTTGGAGGTACGAATTCTTGAAGGGAGTTCACAATCACAGAGGACTTCCTTATCTACCCTGTGATTGCTTGAACCTGTGGAGATTCTTGAGCCACTCGACATCTTCTTTCTTCTTCTACGAATTCCCCACTTCTCTTATCTACTATGTGTTCGAGTTTGAAGGTGATTCCTCCTGATTTTGGATGTTAACATTCGTTTATAAGGAGTGACTAAGCTAATTAATTGTTATGCAGTTGTTTTTAGTACTCCGTGTGCTTTCACATCAGCAAAACCTATAGAATCCGGTCAAAAGGACATAATGTGTACATATTAATAAAGTACAAGGGTTTAATTTACAAAAAAAGGACTAAATATATACATTTCAAAAAGTAACTTACCCTATCAAGTTATTATCCCAACAATCACATATGCTATAGTAACATTTCCACACAAACAACCTCCTATTTAGAGTTAACCGAACAAACAATGACTATAAATAAATAACCATCTAGCAAAAATAAATAAAATTTTAACTGCGACAGCAGCTTTATCGACAACAAGTCTTTGCTATTAGCTAGCTATTCCAATTTTACCGGATATGGAGGTTCCCGCCTACCTGTCAGCCATGACAAAGTCACAAAGATTATGTGCAGTAGCTCCTTTTAGCGATGACAATATGTCGTTGCTAAAGTCGTTATTGCTAAACAAGATTCTTGTAGTAAATAATATAACACAAAATTTGAATGCCGTAGAGGCATCCATGTCATTTTACAACTTTGAGGGTAAAATGGTCACTCTTGATTAATTCTTATAAATTGTTGGTGATCAGAACAGAATAATCAGTCTTAAAATGAATTCAGGTTAACTGAACTAGCCAAAAACTTATATGATATAACTTAATTGATGAAAACATTAAATATAAAATGACATATCATTTAATCCCGTATTTCAGTTATACAACTATGAATGATATTGAAATTCTATGGGACATGAGGTGATGATGATTGTATCCACCGCTTATGGGGTTGGTCTCACTTTGAGTGTAGCAGGTAGGGTATTCAAATTTTAATACTGCCCACTTTCAATTAATTAACTATTTTTTAAAATCAGAGTTTTTAAAGTGAAATTTATTAGGTTTTAATTATAAAAAAATAATATAAACCAATATCATAATATAACATATTGACAACTTAATTAATTTATATAAAAGTAATTTCATGTCACAAAACCACTTTTTCTATTAACATGCATATATTGAGTTTAAAAAAGTTTTATTTTAATTCTTGGAACTTAACTGAAAGTAGAGTACTAAATAAGTAATAAATTACTTACATTAAAATATAAAGACTAAATTATAGATATAAAGATTAATAAGATTTTGTAGCTTCTATCAAATTGTTAGATTTCGATTCTCAACCCCTAAAATTATAATTTATTAATTAATCAATTAATCGTAAAATTTCTTTCTTCACATATCTCATGTCCAACAGAATCTTTTGAGTTCAGCAAATGAATTTAACATAATACGAAATAGAATATCAAAAATGCGAATGCAAATAAGATTTGGTTGATTTACCGATGTATTTTCATGAATATACGTCCTATATACTATAGATAATCAGCTTGAACAAACTTTTTTTTTCTTCAAATATGATTATTAATCAACCCATAGACCATAACAATTGCCATGATTAATGAATGGTCGATATGGGGCTGTACAATTAATGTAAATACATCATCTCCTAAATTAATTCCTGTTGTTGTTTGTTTTTGTTTAAGCTCTGCTACCAGAGCACATTCTTGATCTTCATCTACAATCTTGAACCCTAGTTTCCCATTCATTCTAACAATCTTGTATGTACACCCTCTTCCTTTATGCTCACACGAATTCACACAAATGCTTCGATGTTTTGTTGCATGGAACCATAGTTGTTTATTCGAACTACAATCATCCCATTTATATCCATCCCAGCATCCAAATAATCGTAATTTCTGCACCGACAAAGCAATTACATTAAAAAAGATATCGTCTTTTGATAAAATGAAACTATATATAAGTTAATCATGACTTCATGAGTGAATAAGTACCTTCTGTCGTAAGGAATAGAGAACATTGCCTCGAATATCCATCAAGTAAACTTCTTGGCCACATTTATTGTCGTAATTATCAACTCTATAAATTATTTCGCCTTTTGAATTGTAGACAGTGCATCCATGAGTGTTGAAAACTAAAGATTTCATCCATATTGTAAAAGATTCAAGCTTTGAACTCATGTAAGGTGAAGGAGAGGAAGGAGAAGGTCTTTGTGGATAAACCCTAGACATTGAAAGAGAAAAGAAAACAAATCTTGTAAGAAGATAGAGAAGCTCCTTTATATATATATAGACATGAGGAAGTGGTAGTAATTTAAAAATATTTGCATGTAGGTCAGCATCTTGGAAAAGAATTCAAGTATGTCCAAGTGAGATATATATATATATATATATATATATATATATATATATATATATATATATATATATATATATATCCCCACAATTATTTATCAAATAAATAAAAGAAAAAACTTCAAAAATGGTCCCTGTGGTTTTTGAAAATCTGAAGTTTAGTCCCTAATCTTTAAAAACCTCACAGATAGTCCCTGTGGTTTCAAAACTTTTAACAAATGGTCATTTTCGCTAACTCTGTTAGCTTTTGACCGTTAAGTGAAGGGCATTTCGGTCATTTCACAACTACAGGGACCATTTATGAAGTTTTGCCTTATTTAATCTTACTATATTATTATACAAACCTTACTATTTCTAAAAATAGTTTTAAGACGTTCAAGTATTTAAGCTAAGAGTACAACAAACCATGATTAAAATAATTTTTTAATTTAAGTTTTTTAAAATATAATGCAGAAAATACAAGTCTTTAATGCACAATAAATCTCACACTCCAATATTGAAACATTCAAAACGTGAGTCTTATATTTCCTGTTATAAAAAAAGATAACACAACATTTAAATATCTCAACCTAACCGCGAGTAATCTGTAAATAGAATCGGTCAAAGTTGACCCTGTAATCCTTCACCTTTGGCCAACGTTTCATAGCCTCTCATCTCTCAAAGACCCTATATGAGACACCTTTTCTTTGAATGCAACAATATACAAGAATCTACTCTCCTCATTCGCACACCGCCATAAACAACCACTCCTCTTACCTACACCACCTCTACCAACGACCTTCACCATTGCTCCACCCGGAGACCATCAGACACTGAGAAATTGACCCCGACTCTGTCCTCTAGCCACGTCGCTGCCCTCTACTTGCCCTGCACATCCAGCGCCACCCTTCCCCCGACGCTTCCCATTATCTGATTTTGTTCTCGCCAAAATATGCTCGCTTTAGGTTTGCTTCTGGGTTTTTTTCCCTGCAAAATTAACTTTATTTTCTGCAAAAAAAAATGCTTTTCTGCTTTCTTCCCTTTCAAATCGATTATAGAATTTGAATTCTGCAAAACCGATTTCATTTTTTGCATTTCTGCTTAAAAAATTTAGTCAATATCATTTTTACTTCATTATTTTTTTTTTCTCCTTTTTCCTTGAAACTACCCAAAGTACCTCCTAAATTTGTTTTGTCTATGTGTTCTTTGTGTATCTGTATTTGATTATTTGTGTCTGTTAACTCTGTGTGTGCGTGTTTAATAGATGATTTCCATCCCTAATGCTAAAATCGGTAGCTTGAAGAGGGCTAAAGACGATAAGAAGGATGCATATGATATCACAACCACCACCATCACCATCTCTTCACAACAACGTTTCTTTTTCTCCTTCCCTACATGAACATCTAAGACCAAGGTAAAACTCTAATCTTCTTCTTCATTTTGTTTTTCTTGTTTAACCCCCTCTTTTTATTCCTCATTAAATCAACATTTTTGACAACCTAACAGATATATCAGATATATATTTCTTAAAGCCAAAAGAAACGTACATCATCTGCTCATTCTCGACACCTCCTCAATCTTCAGATTTGTAAGAATCTTGTATCTTTAGATCTAGAATCTGATGAAGTTATGTTGTATGCCTATGTATGCGTGTCTGTGTAAAATGGGAGATAGATATTTAATATAATCTTATGTTGTTGCGGTTAAAATTTCAAGTTAATATGGCGTCGAAGTTGCAAACGAGTCTAAAACCAAAATTATGGATGTTTATTCTGGCTCCGGGCAGCCAACAATAAGACATATCAGAGGCAAAGGTAGGTGTAGCTCAAATACCATCCCAATTCCAAAATCTATGGATCATATTATCCAAAGGTAAAAAGGTAATTGGATTCATTTTTGTTGTTTTGTTATGATGTTTGAATATTAAACTGATTCCAACTTTGTTAGATGTATTTTCATGTTTCCTCATGTATCTTTGCTAACAACAAAATATTATGCAATAACATAAGAACATCTACCTTTATATGGTATATCAAATGGCCATGAAAAGAGCATAATTAGAAGTTTCATTTTCTGTTCATATATTTTTTTAACAAATGTCAATAGTTCTTTGGTTTCAGTGATACTGATCAAGAAAATAGTAGTTATGGTTCTTCCTTATGAGTTTTTAGTCTTGGCTATTTTATTTTGTACACTAAGACACTATGATGTGGGTTTTGGGATTGAATATAGGTAGACTTGGTTGGAAGTTGTTTCCAAGGAGTTGAACCTGGTATAAAGTTGCCATAATTCCAAGAAGGCATCTAAAGAGGTTGTTTCTCTAATCCCTACTACTGCCAATAAGGATGAGGAGAACCCAAAGCAAAATGACAGAAACTACCCTTGTCATTGAGGAGTCAAACATGTTAACATAACATTGAAACCCACTTCAAAATAGTGACCATACACATCTGCATGTGCTCTTCCTCCTTGAAGGCACCAAACTACCAAAGGTGAATTATGTTTCTAAAACCACGCCAAATTAGTGATATTGTCGATTTTTAACTTTATGAATACCATAATATATTAAGGGAAAGTATGTTTTCTGTTTTGTGGAAAAAGGAAGGATCATTGTTCTTTCAAGTTGATAGGTTCAATAGATGAAGTTCAATATTAGCATCATTTGACCTTGGCATAGTGAGTAAATACCTATTTCCAGAATCATCTAAAAATACCCAATTAGATCTTTTTTATTAATTTATTGAGTTATTTAAATCATAATTTACATATCTACCCTAATAGATTTGGATCTACTGATACTCTCCATTTCACCACTATCAATACCGACTCCTTTGCTGCAATGGACGTTTTTTAGTCAACATACTATGAAGGGCTTACTGTATGTTCTCTTAAACCTATAGCATCCTACTTTCATTCTATTTATCACATCATTGTAATTTCATTTCATTATTTTTTCTTATTAGTGCAATATATTTTGACGAATTAAAACTAAATATAACATTGTATTTCCAATACATTTTTCAGTAGGGCATTATACTCTATAAAATATATTCATTTATACATTACTATACTTAGATACATTTTTAAAGTGTAATGCTCTAATAAAAAGAAGTTAGACTAAGATGTTATAACAAAGAAATCAGTAAAAGTACAATGTTATTATAAGAAAAATATGCTTCTAAGTTGCTAACTAATTTTTTAGTGCTCTGGTCATTTCTTTATTTCATGCCATTTAAAAAGCTTTAAGGGCTAAATGCTGGAAATACTGACATACTTTTGATTAATTGTTTAGATACCAATTTCATTGTTCTATTACAACATTGTACTTTCAAAAACATATCTATTTATAGCATTACACTTTTGTTTATTTAATAATGCTGATGAGAAATCAAAGTACAATGTTATAAATAGAAAGGCTTTGAAAGTTGAATGTTGTAACAGAAAAGAAACACTTTTGATCATTTCGTTACTTGGTTATGTTTTCACGTGTTCATGTTATTGTGGTTATGTTTTGATCATCTCTTTACATTGCTGCATTTCTTTTTGTTGAAAATAATGAAAGGTTTTTTATCAATCTAATCATTTTACTATTTTGCCCTTTGTTGGTATATTTTGTTTTTTTATGTTTGTGTTGCAGTTTAAACATGTACAAGTTGTTGAAGGGTTCAAAGTGTAAATTTCGTCGGGTTATCTTGCGGGTAATCGGGTCAAAAACTTGTGTTCTTGGTTCATAGTTCCCAATTATCTGAGTGTATATGTGTGAGAGTAGTGTAGGGAATCTGTAGTGAGGTTTTGATTGTAAAAGTATGTGTAAACGTCCTGGTTTGGTTTAAAATCAAGTTGTTCATGTTGTCAAATCTCGTTTATAATTTTGTCATGGTATCAGAGCACTAGGTTGCTCCGTTGGTTCGATTTCTCTGATCTGTTCACGATCGTTCGTCGCCTGGATTTTTTCGTAAAACAAGGTGATGTTTCTTGTTCTCTTTATTAGATCAGATTTTATATCTCTCTTTCTTTGAGACGATTTGTGTTCTCTGTGAAGAAAATTGTAGGTCATACTTGTGTTGTACGATCTACCAATTTCTTCATCTCGATCGTCTCTTGGTTACGACCTTTGCTGTCGTTTGTTCTCTGTTCAAAAGTACTGTGAGTTCTTGTTGTTTCTTTGCAGATTAGATCTGGTGCGGTTTCAGATCTGGTGCGGCTGGTTTGTCATTCAAAAGGTCGTCAGTGCTCCTGCAAGTTTGAAACTACAAACTAAACCATCTTGGTTTTGGATTAACTCTGTAAGGGAACGGATTAATACCGTTAACTCTTACAGGAAAAGGAGCCTAGTTTAACCCTAACCTTGGTCTTTGCGGCTAAAAGCCCTGACTAAGCCGTTTATAAAGCGTTTTCGTTCATCACTGTGAGATCCTTCTTCTCTTTACTTGTCTTGATTTGTGTGATATTCGTTTGTCTATTTGGTCTGTGTGATATTTGTTTGATCTGTTTGATTTGGAAACTATTTTCTGTTTTCTGATTGGTGATTGACCTTGGGCTCCCAACATACCGTGGAGTTATCTTGGTTGTTCTCAGTTGTGTTCTTGCTTATCTCTTGATTAGTTTTTCACTATGACTGGTGCTGTAGAGTCTGGTAGCAACTCTAAGAAGGATCCTATTGACTTTGATGATCCTCTCTATGTGCATCCATCTGATAACACTATAACGAGTGTTATTAATTTCAAACTTCTAGGAACTGAAAATTTTTGAGTTTGGCGCAGTTCCATGATTAGAGCTTTAAAAGCTCGCAACAAACTTGGTTTCACTGATGGAACTGTTCCAAAACCTTCTAATGATCCTATTAAGGAGTCTAAGTGGGAACGTGCTAATGCTGTTACTTGTTCCTGGATTCTTGGGTCTATTTCAGAAAATATATATGCAAATCATGCATGCTCTGAAAATGCTCAAGAAATCTGGAAAGAACTTTCTGAAACTTATCATAAGACTGATGGATCTGTGATCTTCAATATACATCAGAAAATTAATTCTTTTACTCAGGGTAACCTGTCCTTATCTGATTACTTTAATAAACTTGATTCATATTGGAAAGAATTTGATGGGCTAACCAATCTCACTGATTGCACCTGTGACGCTGCTACTAGTTTCAACAATCATGCAAAACTAATGAAACTAATGCAGTTCTTAAATGGCTTAGATGATTCATATAGTCAAGTTAAAAGTCATATTTTGTTAATGGATCCTCTTCCAACTGTTAAAACTGCTTTTTCCTTAGTGTCTCGTGAAGAATCTAATCAAAAACATGGGACTAATTCCAACTCTTCTGGTAATAATAAGTCTCAGTCTTCCGCTTTTCTTTCTAAATTTGTTGATCAAAAGAAATTTAAAGGAAAAAATCAGATTCCTCAATGTAAAAATTGTGGTTTAAAAGGTCACTCAATTGAAAAATGTTTCAAAATTATTGGTTATCCAAAAGATTATAAACCTAAGTCTGAGCTTAATAATCAAAATAAGGTTTTCTCTGTAAATTCTTCTACTCATAATTCTGAGTCTGTTAATTCTAAGGATAATGCTAATAACTCTGACTGTCATTATCTCACTAATGAACAATATTCCAAGTTTTTGAAACTCATTGGTGATAAGCAAGGGTTGGATGAAGGACCTGTCAGTGCTAACATGGCAGGTATTTCTTGTAATTCCTTTATTGTTTCTGATTGTCAAAAATGGGTGGTTGATTCAGGAGCAAGTCAGCATATGATAGCCTCTGAATCACTACTTCATGATTCTGTTGATGTTTCTAAATTGAATCTAAGAGTTAGCCATCCTAATGGCTCTTCTGCTCAAATTAACAAAATAGGGAACATGCAATTTTCAAATTCTCTTACCTTGTTTGATGTTTTTGATGTTCCTGATTTCAATATAAATCTTCTGTCTGTTCATAAGCTATGTAAAGATAGTAACTGTAATGTTGTTTTTAATGAACATAATTGCTATGTTCAGGATTCACAGTCCAAGGGGACGGTGGAGACTGGTAATCAATCTGGTGGACTTTATTACCTTAATAGTCTATATTCAGGTAATAAGTCTCCAATTATAAATAAGTCTCATTGTTTTGCTTCCAAATTCACATGGCACAACAGACTTGGACATCCCGCTGATCAAGCTCTTAATGTTCTTAAAGATAAACTTAATTTCAAAAGTGATCCTTTACCTCCATGTAAGGTGTGTCATAAGGCTAAACAAACCAGAGAATCTTTTCCTATGAGCCAACATGTTTCAAAAAAACTAGGAGAACTTGTTCACCTTGATGTTTGGGGTCCTTATCGTATTAAGAGTGTAGATGGCTTTAGGTTCTTCTTGACTATTGTTGATGATTTCACTAGAGCTACATGGGTTTTTCTTCTTAAGTCCAAAGATGAAGTTTATCAATGTTTTGTTATTTTTTCCAATATGTTAAGAAATCATTTTGACACAAATATTAAATGTATACGATCTGATAATGGGACTGAGTTTTCAAATACTCGTATGAAAACTTTTACTGAAAACATGGAATTTTACATCAAACCTCGTGTGTTCACACTCCACAACAAAATGGTGTTGTGGAGAGGAAACACAGGCATATTCTCAATGCTGCAAGGTCTCTTTTATTTCAATCTGGTTTACCTTTAAAACATTGGGGTGATGCCATTTTAACTGCAGTTTTCTTAATAAATAGAACTCCTTCATCTGTTTTAAAAGGGCTTACTCCATATGAATTAGTATATAAAAAGGCTCCAAGTTTTGATAATCTTCGTGTTTTTGGATGTTTATGTTTCTCTACTAAACTTAATAACTGTGATAAGTTCTCATCTAGAGCTGAAAAATGTATTTTCCTTGGTTATTATTTGGATAAAAAGGGTTATAAGCTTTTAAGTCTTGATTCACATTCTTTTTTTGTTTCCAGGGATGTGAAGTTCTATGAGTCTGTATTTCCTTTTAAAATGCAAAATACTGTTTTTAGTGACACCCATGAAAAGACAGGCTCTGTGGATCCTTTTTCCTATGATGAGCCTATGTTAACTGAGTTATCTAATGATGACTTAAATTTGGATAACAAGATAATAGATCATCAGGTGGATGGTGCTGGGGCTGTTCAAGGTCACAATAGAACAGATACTTTACAAACAGATACTATTTTTGACCTTGGAGAGTCCTTTGTACCCCAAACTGATGAGTCTGTTTCTAGTTCTCCCAGCATGGTTGAGGAAAGTAGTCAAGACAATTCTAGTCATCATGATTCTTCGATAAGT